AGGGCCAAGGAGTGGAAGAAAGGGTTAGTTCTCCGAGGGACTTAGAGAAGACTTTCCAGAGGAGGTGTCTTCTGAGCAGAACTTGGAAGAGAAATGTGCCAAGTTGAAGAGAGGGCAGAGCCGTTTCTTCTGAGTACCTAGGACCTGGCTGGTGCAGAAACATGAAGTGCTCAGCCTTTGGAAAGACTAGTAGTGATTTTGGTGGGTAGCTGCAGGCATGAAGGTAGAGGGGTAGAGGGAAAGTGAGATACGCAGTTAAGTGCCTCACTGGTGTTTTATTGTGTTGATGAGCATCTACTCACTTAGTTATTCTGTACAGAGCTCTGCCAGACCAACCACACGTCTGGCACTGTCCCCTACAGAAATGGAGACATTTTAAGATAAATCTTGCTGCTTTGGTGCTAGGCCACTGTTCTGAAATGGAAGTCCTCCTTTTACCCTTCCGATTTAGTCCTTTGCTTATTATTTTCCCTCATGCATGTAATGATCCTTCTCCAAGTGAATATTCCTAAGGTTTTCTGCCTATGGGTTTTAGCTGATCCTCCTTTCAGCTGGAGATTATACGCTTATGTGATGAGCTCAAAGTCTGTGACACGGGTAGTGCTGGTGGCCCCAGTCCGCCAGCTCTCCAGGCCCTGCTCACTGTTTCCTCACACACCTTGGTAGATGCTTGCGGTTGCTGCTAGGGTGAAATACCTGTGTCCTGGCATAAGAAGAGAGACACTGGGTTATTTTGAAAAAGAACAAGTCATAACAGATCCTGTGTGTGAACTAGAGCAGTCTGGGCGACAGAGACCGTGACCTTGTTGTTGTGTCCCCCTGCCCCACTTCCCCACCCTGGTACCCACTCTTCTCCTGGTACAGTCACATGCAAACTATTCTCTCTCCCCTCCTGTAAGTGAGGGCCAAAGATTGTGTGTCTTTAGCTTCCCAGGTCAGACTGGGCTGGGCTGGAGCATGTGGAGGCTGCTGAGGGCCGATGTGAGGGAAGTGCCAGTCTGAGCTGCGTGTGGGCTGCCAGGTGCCTGCCCTTTCACATAAGGTACCTCAGGAAAAGGAGCCATGTGATGAACTGTTATTGGCCCACATGGTGCCTTTCTCCTGGTACAGCGCTGTGAACTGATGCCTCCTAACATTCTGAAGAAAGGAAGTGGCAGATAGTGTTAAAACGTTACTGGTTAATCATGGGGAAATTGAAGCATGGATAGGTTTATGGAGCCTGAACAGAGCCATACAATGCCTTAGTGTCTGGCCTGGGAATGAAGCCTGAGTTTGCTGCTTGCTGTCAGGACTGCCGCCGGCATTGTGTTTAGCATTGTACAACAGTGAAAGGGGCTTACTCTTCACAATGCAAGAGCTGCTTTGGGGGACAGACACAATGAACTTTGGTACAGTATAGTCTAGAGGCCAAAATGAGTAATTTTCAGTAAACTGATGATGAGCTCCAAAGCTTCATTAAGTTTTAAAACAAAAAACAAGTTAAAACTGCACAGTTTTTAGGAACTGACTCAAAAAACATGAATTTTCCTTTCCCCCCATTTGAAATTGCATGTTTTTAATGGTCTTATTTTGTTGGCTCAAAATCTAAAATTCCTGTTAACCATAGGATTTATTTCAAATAAGTATTTAAAGACTCTGGCTTATTCAAAGATTCTGCCTTGTAGTAATTGTCAGCCTGACCTTTTTGCTTTTTAATGTTCCAAAATACTTTATTTTCATAAGCCTGTGGTTTTGTGGGGAGGTTTTTGTTTTATTCAGATGTAGTTTGGGTTCTTCCAGAATAGCTGGAAATACGAGCCTGAAATTCAGGTATGAGATTGATGGGGAGGGGGTGATGTCATGTTAGGCATCCTTACCGTCTATATGCTTGGAACCATGGGGGCAGAAATGCCAATACTGGGGAACATGCAGAGGAGATAAGCCAAGTGTGGAGTAGAATGTCACCACTAAGTTTCCTTTTTGTCAGAAGTGTCTTAGGTGACCTAGAATAAATTAACAGATTAGGCAAATATTAATGGGCTTGACTGCAAAGTTTTACACTCTGGATTTTAAAAACGTGAAGATGAAATTCTGGAACTTTTGTCCAAAATATATTGAGTAATATTGGTGTATGAATAATTTAAACAAGGCAATATAGCAATCAGTCACCTACAATTTTCTATTTATGATTTATGATCATTTGGATCCAGATAGTTGGGCTAGTCTCCCTCCAGGAGATGGTCCAGCGGAATTCTGGCAGAGGAGTTGAGCAAGAATGGAGGTGTCCAGAGCAGGAATAGCATTTCTCCCCTCTTCCCCTGACAAAAATCAAAGCAGCGCAGTAAGAGAAAACACTGTGACTAGTGGTGTTGCCTGACAAGTTGAACCTGGCAGAGCTGTCCTAACTGAATAGCTGCTAGCCAGAGGTTGTCTCTGGGGGAATACACACACACATGCATGCATTCGTACATGCACACATACATCACCCTCTTAGGAAAACTCTCATCATGAGTCGAGGAGAAAAAAGTTTGCAAAAAGTCAGACACCTTCAGCCAGCCTTTGTCTGAATCCAGGATGTGATGTGTTGGCATCTAGAATACTGTTTATAGTTGTGGTCATTAATCTTGTAGGAGAAGGCATACTGGAACTTAAGCAATGCCAAGGAAGAGCAACTGGTGTGATGGAGTGGGAGGGCTTGCTATATGAAGGCAGACTGAAATAATCAGGGCTCCTCAGACTTGAAGACTGAGAGGAACCATGATTAGAGTTTAAAAAAATCTGTGAAGAATATGGATTAGATCATCACAGAATTGTTTACCAGAAGTAAACAGAACCTCTTAAAGACAAGGAAAAGTGAATTTAGGGCAGAAAGAAGCTCTATCATACTGAGAAAGTAGTTTCTGTACATCAAAACCACTCTTCTGGACACTGGGGTAACTTGTGGCATTAAAGTGAAGTGATAAATAAATTGAAGCATTCCTCTTATTTCAACACTATTTTCTTCAAGTATGAGGGGCCCTGAGAAAACAGATCAAACTCCCTATTCACCTTTATGTTTTATTTTTTCTTAGGTGAAATTCAAATGTTGTTTGTTCTTCATTCCACATTTGTCATTGAGGGTAGATTCTGTGTCATGTTTCCCACTAAGCACTGAGGATACTGGGATGCGGTAGAGATGGTGCCCATAGTCTAGGGATGAATAAGAAACTGCTGCGGCGGTGAATGCACAAATGTGACAGCATGACCCAAACTGCCGACACACTGTTGGGGTCAGAGCAGGCAGCGCTAAGGAAGGGATGCTTAAGCTGAGACCCAAAGCTGGTGAGAAGTTCACTAAGGCAAAAGCTGGGACAAGGGAACAGCGTATGTGAGGGCCTCAAGGTGCGTGAGGGTCCGCATGACTGGAGGAGTGTAAGGGGGCAGTAGGTAAGGAGTGAGGGGAGATGAGCTGGACGGTGGGCTCGTGGGGCAGATTGTGGAGGGCCTCGCAGACCATGATAAGGGTTTGGACCCAAGAGCAGTACAAAGTCACTGAAGTGGGTTAAGGCAGATATGATCGGATTCCGTTCTTATAAACGGTCACAGTGGCTGCCTCAGAGAGAGCAGAGGAGGCAACGCTAAACCGACCGGGACCGGTGAGAGAATGCTGGCGCCGTCCAGGTGGCGGTGTCCTGGACGGAGAGAAGCAGCCAGGTCCCAGAGCTATTTCCAAGGTGCTGTGGACTGGACTTGTTGACTAACAGGACATGGCAAGTGAGGGAGAGGAATAATCACGCTTGATTTGTGAGAGTATGATTGCCAAGTAGGCCTCAGACTTCACAAGTGAGAAAAACCAGCTCGGGTTTTTGATGATTCTCTTCTCGCGTGATCTCCAGATGATCTAGGAGTCAGTAGGTTTGCCTGCCTTCCTGCCTCCCCCTCCGCTTTCTTGCTCTCTTGAATCATTCAGGCCCTAAATATTTCAGGATCTGCAAGTTGGTATGTAATTGGCCCCTAATAGTAAACGGATGTCCAATAAGCAAAAAATAAGAAACTGCATGAATAATTCCCAGGCTCCCAAATCTCCGTCTTTATCCCCGCAGAGCAAACAGGTTCATGCAAAGCACAAAGTACGTGACAATTCCTAGTACTCTGAGGTCAGTTCACCTGAAACAGAATTTAGCAAAGGTCAAGATAGCAGTGACATCCAGAAAGACTCTATTTAGTGAATTTTTAAAAGCTTGTTATTACAAAATAAAGAGATGTAAAGCTAGTACAAGGAATTTCATACAGACCCTACTCAGTTCACCAGTCATTAACGTTTTACCACATTTGCTTTACCACACCTTACCATGCAAAGATGGTGATGACAGAGATTTAGAGATTTTTTTAGCCAGGTAATTGTAGACAGTAAGACACTTTGCCTCTAAATGCTTTAGTGTGTGTTTTCTCAGAACAATGATTTTCCTTACATAACCACAGTGCAATGATTAAATTCAGGAAATTTAACCTTATGTAATTCTATAACCTAGTAGGCAGTCTCTGTTCAGCTCTGGCTTATGGCCCCAATCCTGCGTTTATGGTATTTTCTTGCCAAATCCAGGGTCCAGTCAAAAGGCATTGCCTTTTATTATCATTCTCTTACATCTGGAACAGAGACCTGGAACAGTCCGTCAGCCTTTTTGACTTTTAGGACATTGAAGTTTTTGAGAACCGGCCTGTTTTCGTGCAGAATGCTCTTCAGAGTGGCTTTGTTTGAAGTCGCTTCGGGCTCAGATTCAGGTTGTGCCCCGTTGGCAGGAAAGCTGCGTCAAGATGTCGCCCCCTTGCGGTGGGTCTCTTGCAGCCTGAGGGGAGCTGTGACCTCCGAGTCTCAGGCCCAGTGACGGGAACGTGGATCGAGTGACCAAGGAGGTTTCTCCATTCTAGTTATCTTTCCTCTTTAAAGTGAATACTTACTGGCTCAGCTATTTTAAGTGTTACTAAGATTTGTGTCCACAGTCTTATAAATTATGAGTCACATTACCCCTCTCTCTTGGCAGTGTTTTAGAGCACTTTGCTGCAAGGGACCACCGCCTGCACGACCAGAATATGACCTGGTTTGCATAGGCCTCACCGGCTCTGGAAAGACAAGTCTGCTGTCAAAGCTCTGCAGCGAAAGTCCCGAGAACGTCGTGTCCACCACAGGTGGGTACCATGAGGGCTGCTGGCCCTTCCTCTTTCTCATCCCCAAGGTAGTCTCATTTCTTGGGCTATTTGAGGGATCCCACCCTCTCCTCCCCGTCCCCTCTATTTGTGGTGAAATGCTTCAGTCAGTCATTTTTTAAAATTTTTAGATATTCTGCGTTTCAAAATAGACTTGAGGGGGGTGTTTCATGACATTAAATCTCTGTACCTTATAGCCCTCTAGTTGATCATTTTAGTGCCACTGAATTAAGTCATGCTTAGGGAAACATTAATCCTAACTAATACTGAAACTTAGAATCTAGTACTGTAATAAAACGGATTCATGTCAGGCTCATTCTGTGCCATCCTCCCTGAAGGTTCACTCTGGCCCACTGGTGCTGGTCATACACTCCCTAGACAGTACAGCTGGTGGAGTCTGAGTCATCTTCCCTCAGTTTTCATCTAGAGGATAGTCAGGCCCCCTGATTGTGTTGTTTCCTGAGGTGGCCAAGAAGCCAGTCCAGGCAGTGCTGCTCAGCCAGGGGAGGTTTTGCTTCAGTGGGGACATCTGGCAACATTTGGATACGTTATGGCTGTCGCATCTCGGGGAGGGCACTACTGGTATCTGTTGGTAAATGCAGGAGTGCTGCCAGACACCCCACAATGCATAGGACTTAGAAGTCACAGGACATCCCTCACCACACAACAGAGCAGGAACATACTTGATGGCCAGTTAGGTTTGAGGGATGAGAGAGAAAGAAGCCAGGGGTGGCTCAAGTTTTGGCTTAGAGGATGGGTAGTTGATGGAATCAATCATTAACTAGGATTTCCTAAAAAGAAAAAATATTGATGACTCAGAACCTTATATTGATTCAGGTCAAGATTTCTTATCAGATAAATTTAAAAAGTACAGGCTTATAGAGCTCTCTAGATTTTAGAACTGCAGACAAGAAACTATGGACCTGGAAAGAAATTGGAGGCATAGGTTGATTAAAGGATGAGGAAGTGAGGAAGGGGTTCAAGGTGAATGGTGAGATCATAGAGAGGCTGAGCAGAGCTCTAGCACAGCCCTTTTGTGTGAGGCCATTCCTGACTACCTGCTTTTCCCCAAGACAGAACTGAGCACTCTCTGCTCCCCCACTGGACACTGTCCATAATTCTATCATCTGGTGCCTGCAATGCTGCTGTTACGTTCTCCCTCTCCCCAGCCTGGGTGTAAGCTCCTAAGGGCAGGTAGAGCATTTTTTTTGGCTTTATAACCCAGAACCTGGCTCAAGGTTTGGGAAGAGCTACAGATGTATATTGAATAAATAAACAAACAGCAATGAATTGAATCTATATGTCTTTAAAGTATCATGCCCCTCATAATAGCCTTTTACGGCAGGTACGATTTTTTTTCCAGATTCTGTATTTAAATCATATGAAGTGCAAAGATTTGGTGACATGGCTATTGTCCCACCGCTGGTGACAGAGATAGGATGCCAGTTCAGGTATTCAAATGAAGCTTAGTGGTACCCAAGGCTTAGGATTTCTGATGAGAGTATTATTTGCTGGTTGTTTGTAAAACTGTGGATGTCTTTTGAGAAATGTTATGTAATTATACTAACTTTATTAACATTCCTTTCAAGCAAAATAATGTCCCCCCAAATCTGTAAAAGTAATACAAAGTATACACTTCTTCACTTATCAGAGATATAAATAAGCACTATTGCTAGAAGAATATTTTTGAATTATAGTATAAAAAATGATCTGTTGAATAATACTTTTATAATTCTAAATTGTGATGTTTTATATTTTCATGAAAGTTTTAAAATGTTTTCCTTTTACTAGAGCCCATTGTAGCATTGTGTGCTAGTTGATTTTCTGATGAATTAGCTATTAAGTTGGCTAACATTTAGATATGAAGCTTCTATGAGTTGTCATTATCCTGAATGAGGCACAGTGCCATTTTGGGGACCTGTTTGGAGGTCTCTGCCATCAAGAAGTTTACACCCAGGTTGGGAACGTAAGTTCTGTAATGATAAACAGTTTACATTTGTTGAGTGTTTAATATATGCCAGGTGCTAAGACAAGGTGATACATGCTATACTTGATGCTAGAAATATGAAAGCTAAATATGATCATTTCTAATTTGGGAAATCAGAAAAGGCATTGTGGATGTTACATCTGAGGAGGGCCTCATGTGATGAGTAGGAGCTAGGCAGAGAGTAATGGGGTGAGGACCGTAAGGATGGAAATGATAGAGTCAGAAAACAGTTAGTGGTCTTACTGGGTTGAGGCTCAGGATGCAGAGATGTAGGGTGTGTTGTGACCCAAGGCTAGAGACTGGAGAGAGACCTATAACAGCGAGAGGTGACCTAGCAGTCACTGTAATTGTAGGGATGGAGAGTTAGAGGCAGATGTTATGGATCCTGTTAAGAGTGATGATCATATTGGGTAATAGGGAAGGAAGGGAAAAGAATCAGTTGTGACTTAAGGTTCTAGGGGAAAAAGAAACAGACAAAATATTTGACAGAAATCACATTAAGAAAGTGATTTTCAAGCAACAAAGGATAGTCATCCCTAAGAGATAAGAAACAAATGACATGAGCCCTGCATTCATTTGTTCCAGCTTACAACCCTGAGAGAGCACAGTTCTAGCAGGATAGGAAGTGGAGTTCAGTGGACTCCCTGCACTGAGGAGATGGAGCTGAGAGTCAGAGAGACCAAGGCAGGTAGAGTTCATAGGATGTGGCAGTGGAAAGGAGAGAGTTGCACATAGAAGAGAACCCTGCAGGCTAAAGAGGGTCTCCTTTCAGTGTCCAGGAATATGTTCAATGCATGCATGCGAGGAAACTTCCCAAGCCAGGAACGAACCATCTGAAAGTACTAGTGGGAATAGTGCCTGTGTTCACAGAGGGTCAAAAGTTGTAAGCGTTCCCACCAGTGCAACTGGAAGAAGTCATAATTCACATGGTACTGTTTATAGTATTCAGGAAGGTTTTGCTTGAGGAATCATCCTAAAGGTGAACACTGCTTTGTACCTCCTAACAAATCATATTAGCAAGAGCAAATACTCAGTTCCTAGTAACTTCAATGCATCCCAGAACAAAATTGTATAATTTACAGAAAACAAAATTATCCAGCACTTAACCTAGTAAAATTCATAATATCTAACATTCAATCAAATATTACCAGACATGTAAAGAGGCAGGAAAACATGATTCATAATAAGAAGAGTAATCAGTCAGTTGAATCTGACTCAGAACTGATACAGACATTAGAATTAGCAAAGAAGGACATTAAAACTGTTATTATAACTGAATTCCTTATGTTCATGAAGTTAAGTGGAAAAATAGAAGATTAAAAAAAGACTCATAAAATTTCTAGTGGTGAATACAATATCCAAGGTGAAATGTACACCAGGTAGGATTAATGTCAGATTAGGCATTGCAAAAGAAAAGATTAATAACCTTGAAAGCATTAATAGTAGAGACTATCTTAAGTAGAAAGAGAAGAAAATGAAAAATACAGAGATCATCAGTGACCTGTGGAACAACTTAAGTCATTTAACATATGGGTAATTGGAGTCTATGAAGGTGAGGGAGTAGAGAAAGTGACAGAAAAGGTGTTTGAAGAAATAATGGCTGAAACATTTTCAAACTTGAAGAAAACTCTAAATGACAAATCTAAGAAGCTCACTGAATGAACTCCACACACAAGAGACATGAACAAAACTACACCAAGGCATATTATAATAAAGCCACTCAAAACCAGTGATAAAGAATATGATGGTTAATTTTATGTCAGCTTGGCTGGGCCACAGTGCTCAGATATGTGGTCAGATATTATTCTGGATATTTCTGTGAGAAAGTGAATGAGATTTATATTTAAATCAGTGGACTCTGAGTTAAACAGATGCCCTCTATCCAGTGAGTCTCATGCAGTCAATTGAAGGCCTGTGCCAGCCATAAGACTGAATCCCTCCTCTCCCCACTTCCTTCTGCCCCCAGCAAGAAGGAAATCTATAGCACGTAACTTGCCAACCTACATAACTGTATGAGCCAGTTCCTTAAAATGAGTATCTTTCTCTGTATACATATACATCCTATTGTTGTGTTTCTTTGTAATATATTTGAAAGTAGACTATAAGTTAAAGATACAGTATAAACCCTAAAACAATCACTAAAATAACCAAGAGTGATAGCCAATAAGGCAACAAATGAGATAAGATGGAATTATCAAAAATAGTTGATCAAAAAGAAGGTAGAAAAAGGGGAACCAGAATAGATGGGACAAATAGAAAACAAGTAGCAAGGTGATACACTCAAATCTAACCACAGTAAATGTAGATTGTCTAGACTCCTCAATTAAGAGAAATTAATATGATAATCAGAAACTGAGACCCAACTATATGCTGACTTAAACTTTAAATATAAAGATACAAATAGGTTAAAAGTAAAAGAGTGGAAAAAATATATCATGCTGATAGGTGTCAAAAGGAAGTTGGAATGGTTATATTAACATTAGAAAAGGTAGATTTTAGAGCAAAGAATACTGGGGATAAAGAAGTTCCTTTCATGATGATGAAGAGATCATTTGATCAAGAGGGCATAACAATGCTTAAATATTTAGTGTATAACAGCAGCTTCAAAGTACAAAGCAAACACTGATAGAACACTGAAGAGAAATAGACAAACCCACAGTTACAGTCAGAGATGTCAATACTCTCCCTTAATTATTGATAGAACCTGTAGGAAGAAAACTAGCTGAGATACAGTAAATTTGAACAACACTATAGGCCACCTTGACCTGAGTAACATTTATAGAACATGCTACCCAACAAGAGCAGAGGATATTCTTAAGTGCCTGTGGAACATTTACTAAGTTAGAACACATTTGAGGACATAAAACAAGAGGACATAAAACAAGTCTCAATGAATTTAAAATGATTCAAATCATACTAAATATGTTTTCAGATCACAGTGTAATTGAACTCAAAATTAATAACAAGATTTCTGGAAAGATCCCCAAATATCTAG